TGTCATACTTTTTTGTAAAAAAAAAAAAGGAAAAAAGTCAGTATAATGTCATAAAATGTTTTTAAAAAGTCATAATTTAGTATGATAAAAAAAAAGTTTAAAAAGTAATTGTATGTCATTAAAAAAAAAATCAATTTCAATCAGTTCAATTTTATTTATAGAGCCTGTGTTGCGTTCAGGCGTTGTCACGTAAGTGACAAATTCCAGCGCCATAGCACAACACAGCAGCATGTCAAGTGGGCCGAAACCGAGCAAAATTGCTCAATTTTTCATTTGTTATGGAGTCCATGATTTCCCTGTGACACTTACAAATGTTTGCTTAACTGTGCTTGGATGTTGTTTTATGAGGCTCTGGTGTCTTTCAGTTGTCTCATTGTCTTTAACGTTACACAGCTCGGCTTTCTCTCACATAAAATTCTTCCTACTTTTCCTTGTGCTGTCTCAAATGTTGATATAGATTGGTCGTGTTGCCGCGGGACGTGGCGACTTTAACTTTTAAACTTGTACATAGCACGTCTTTCAGGTATGGCGACGTTGGACAGAAAGACGTGCTGTGTAAGTTTAAACGTTAAAGTTGCCACGTCCCGTCTCAAGTGCTGATATAGATTGGTCGGGTTGCCGCGGGATGTGGCTACTTTAACTTTCACAGCATGTCTGTTCAGCGTCACCGTACCTGAATCCAAAGTATTGCCATGTAACAGATGTTTTTTTTTTTGCCACCAACTCAGCCTGTTCATGGTCGTGCTCATGCTTTTCTTGCGTGCTCATGCGTTTGTGTTGGTCACTGCTGCACGCACCAGGATAGCTTGTGGCCGTGATGTCAGCAAACTCCACACAGTCACGTTCACAGGCAGTCACGTTAACATTTATTTACATTAAATCGAAAATCGCAGCCTTTTATGCGGTTATGTAATTGCACAGCCTGACATCGCGATTGCGATTAGATTAATCGTGCAGCACTAGTCACAATGAGACAGAAAGAGAGACAGAGAGAGAATGACAGAGACAGAGAGAGATGCAGGACAGACAGTAATGACAGTAGCTTACAACAACATTAATGAAAGTAATAATATTATAATTATAATTACGGCTATTGTGGTACAATATGTTGAAAGTATGTGTATATATATATATATATATACACACACATATGGCCTCTTGGACCATTTATATCATTATCATCACTGCTTTAGCATTAAAATATATCATATTAAAATAGCCTATATATATTGGACTTCCGGGTTGACTCAGCCCAAGATGGCAGCATAGGTAACTGGCTCCCGATCAGTACTCGAGAAAAACCCCCGAATTCAATTACCTTGATAGAAATATATACATCTGAAGCAGAGATGGAAAAAGGGGGGGAAATCAAGAAGACAAACAAACCAAAAGAAAAAAAAACAACCCGAATTGACCAACGAAGACGGAGGTGATATAGCAGACCACATGGAGGGTGAGGTGGAAGAACACATGGAGGCCAAGGCGGCTGCAGTGATTCGAACGGGACTTAAAGATATTGTTAAGGAGATCCAGGACTTTAAAACTGAGCTGAAAATGAAGTTCACCACATTCAGAGAAGAAATCAAAAAGGAAATGAAGGAAGAACTCGAGGTTTTTAAGAAGGACATTAACCAGCGGCTCACAGAAACAACAGCAGAGCTAACCATACAAACTACGAGAATCACTGAGACCGAACAGAGAATCGAAGAGCTAGAAAACTGGAACATTGAGGCAAAAGAAGCCCTACTTCAGTCAGTAAAACAACAGAGAATACTACAAGATATGCTGACAGACCAAGAGGAAAGAAACAGACGGAATAATATCTGCATCTTCGGTCTGAAAGAGGGAGCAGAGGGCAGCTCTGTAACACAATTTATTGAACAACTTCTGAAAAACGAGCTGCCTCTGCCGACAAACATGGATCTACAAATACAGCGGGCACACAGAGCTTTACTGCCGAAACCAGACGCTGATAACCCCCCGAGATCTATTGTGGTCAACTTCCTTCAATACACGGTGAAAGAGACGGTGCTGAGGGAAGCCTGGAAGAAAAAAATTCACTATCAAAACCGAGCACTCTTTTTCGACCATGACTACGCCACCGAGGTTGTCCAGAAAAGAAAAGAATACAACGGTATTAAAAAAGCTCTTAAGGAGAAAGGAATACGCTTCCAGGCGCCTTTGACGAAAATCAGGATCCACTGGGAAACTGGCCCGCGGACATACGAGAGTGCACAGGAGGCTGCGAAAGAGCTGAGCTGGAGAGGAATCACGGCAGAGGTGCCGGGGAGAGGTGCAGCCAGGACCGGGATGGAGGAGCGACTCCAGCGGGCACTACCGTGGCAACGAGTCGGTAACTCAGAAGATACTGTTTTGCGAGCCAAGCAGAGACTTCAGGAATTTCAAAGGAAATAATGGAGAAAGACGTATGTGAGTGCATTGAAAAGACTAATTAAGGACAGATTAATATTGATTGCACTCCTTGAATTGGTCAAAATATTGATCGATTGTCTTCCCTTGCTATATCTGATCGGTAGCTAAGATCATACTTTTTGCTAGGAGGTTAATGCAGAGACATTATTGGACAATAAGTCCAAACCTACCTAGAGAGGGGCCCCCATATGCTGCGGGATATTCCCCTCACCCCACGAAGGTAACGTGGGAGGCACACACATGGATACATGCCTACTTTTGGAAGTCAAATTGTTCCCTGTTCTATATCAAACTGGTTCTATGTTCTTATGAAGTTGTTGTTGGTTGCCATGGTTACTATACGGATCCAAGTAAAGTACAAGATTTTACAAAAACAATATGAGTAATATCTCACTAGTGTCATTAAATTTAAATGGGCTGAACAACCCAATTAAGAGAAGTAAGGTAATTTTGAAAATGAGAAAACTTAAAGCACAAGTCATCTTCATCCAGGAAACACATTTATCTCAGGAAGAGCATGAAAAGCTCAAGAAATTTGGTTATAGAAACACTTTCTATAGCACATGCAAGCGGAGCCGTAAAAGAGGGGTTGCAATAATGATACAAAACGCAGTCAATTTTGAATGCTTAGAAGAAATTAATGATGAAGAGGGACGATATGTTCTTGTTAAAGGAAAATTAGAGAACAAGATAGTCACATTAATTAATGTATATGCCCCGCCAGAAAGTGATAAACATTTCTTTACAGTTCTATTTACAATTATAGCATCAGAAACAGAAGGCATTGTGATGTGTGCTGGGGATTTTAATGTAATTCTGGATCATAAGATAGACACATCAAGCACAAAAAGAAGTAAGACTCACTTTACTAAATTTATGAATATGTCACTGAAGGAACAGGGTATGGCAGATGTATGGAGAGAACTCCACCCAACATAGAAAGACTATACACACTATTCCAACACACACAACACTCATTCTAGAATAGACTATGTATTTATGAATAGCTGGGACATGCACAAGGTGAAAGAACGTGAAATTGGAGTGGCTGATATTTCAGACCACAACATAGTTCATTTAACTGTACAAATTAATAATAGATATAAAAATACAACTTGGATATTAAACAGTGGCATAATGAACAATAAAGTAATAATTGAGCAAATTAGAAAGGAAATAAAAAGATGTATCGAAGAAAATGCTACAGATGAAATTAACCCAATTATCCTATGGGACACTGTAAAGGCCGTAATTAGAGGAAAATTAATAGCTCAAATCAAAAGAAGCTAAAACAAGCGGCTTATCTTGATCTGACAGGAAAATTAAAAAACCTGGAAATGAAATATCAAAACAACCAAAATATTCAACTCCTACAGGAAATGAAGACCATAAAAGGGGAAATAGACGAAATTCTGAGAGGAGA